AATTTTATAACCGCAGTAGGTGTAGCTCACTAGAATTGATATACATACATGATTAGACCGGTTAAGTTTGGTATTTGTATGTAGCAACCTGCCCTAGCTGAACTTTTCAGCTAGGTCCGCCAATGTCTATACTGCTCTCTGAATTTCTCGTACCACCTAAACTAAGGATGCCATGGTTTCAGATGGTTAGATGCCCCCAAAAAACTGAATTAACAGTATACTAGCGAATCAGTTCTAGCTAGCTTGTGTCTCAGCATTTTGATTCTCACAAGAATCTGATGAACACTGCACCAAACAGTGAGATGCTTTTGAGATGCTCTTGAGATGCTCCTAGCCACGTGAGATGCTTTTGAGCTTCACGTTGGTGTTTCTTCATTTTACTGATTCTTTGATTTTTTTTACAGTATGTGTGTGTGGTCCAGACTGAAGAACAAAGCTATTTTTTTACAGATTCTTTCAATGGCTATTTGCATTTGTAAAAGCATTTTGTGCTAGTTATGTTATCTTGTTTGGCTCTATTTGTTTTGACAGAAAATATTCTGGCCAATGTACCTTGCATGATTGTAAAAGCATTTTGTCCTAGCTATGTTATCTTGTCTGGCTCAGTTTTAGGTAAAGGCACAATGCATTTACAGTGCTAATGCTAGACATCTATTGGTTGATTTAACTTGCCAGTTAATGGAAATTAGTAAAATTATTTGAGAAAAAAATAGAAGATTATGTGAGCATAGGTAGCTTGTTTTTGAATAATATATCATTTTTAGTTCCCTTTTACAATATTAGACCTACTATGACTGTAGTTTCATAACATGTTGTTTGATGTGTGTAGGACCGCAGGTAGCAGCTGTCTACTAGCTGCTAATATAACACCTTCAATGTACAGAAAGGTAAATAGTACAAACCTATGGCTATTTATCTTGCTCCATTTCATTAGTATAGACCTATATAGCTAGCATCTGGCATTCATGTGGACACTGAAGCTAGCAGTTTTCGTTTTTGTTCAGACTTAAAACTGTTGGATTATGGTAAATGAAGGCAGCCAAATTAAAAACAAATAAAAATATATTTATGATGTTATGCCTCAGGATTAATTAATTAATTAATTATATTGAAGTTGGAGATATGGCATGGCATGATCTTGCTTTTTTGGCTGAAGTAGAAATTTCAACAGTTTCCTTTTGTTATTATAGTCATACATGAGTCCCTGATGCTTTGTATTCAATACTTTCATTTATCTGCACTTGACTTTATTTGAGAATCTATGTTGTTCAGACTAGTAGTGAAGAACTGAAAGTTCTGTGAGTCTGCACTTCCACAGAAACAAAGTGATATCTGCTTAGTCATTTTCACCCTTTGATCTGATTGCTTTTTTGGGACCTAATCTCATCCTTGGAAGATGATGCTTTTGCTAGATAGATGGTTCACTCAAGTAAACAGGAAGCCGATGGAACTTTGTTGATTCCTAACAGTGGGGTAGCAGACTTCAAGTGGTGATGGGTTGAGTGGGGAAAAAGGTTCGTGATTGTACTAGCTTCCCTTCTACTGGCCTCAAATCCTAGTCAAGTAGTTGGTTAGTCCTCAATCTGATTTTTTTTCTTCTGCATGGCCATTGCATCTGGTTCAGGCTGCAGACTACATGCAACATGGCAGTATTAATCTGACTATCTGAAGCAAATTTTGGTACTTGTACAGAAGGTGGGACAGGGGAAGTGTTGTCTTCACTTATATTTTCTTGAGCTGCAATCGTTGACCTTAGATTTGTCCAGGTGCTACAGCCATCTCCTGGCAGCCCTCACTTAAATGATAGGCATTTTGAATAGCCGATATTTTTTCATCTGTGATATCTTGCCTTATATCACTTATAACCGATAACTTTATTCTCATGAAAACATTGAGACTTCAGCTGTTGCAAAATTAGTTGCATAATGTTACCCAATTGGGATTGGAGAAAACATCCTGTGGACTACTTGTGTGTGATAAACTGCTTGTCACTACTAGTTGTTTAAATGGTCTATAGAAAATTTGTTACTGCTAATATCAAGTCAATTTCATACTGCTTTGGCTATTCATTAGAATGCTGGTTAGTACTAGTTGTTAGTTACTGTTTTAGCAAGCTGTACTTGAGGTACAATTCTACTTTGGTGAATTATCTGATTGCAGTCCTTATGCCCAAAAATATGCACGAATCGTATTGGTACTTTTCTTGTAGCTCATTTACAGGACTTGGTACGCTATTTGCTATTTGACCAACAACTCATTTTTTTCACATTGATTCTATATTATATGCTCACTCTTACATAATGTCAATTAGCAGCACCTAGATAGCTAGGCTAATTAAGTTTTGAACTTCATTTCACTCTACTCTGAGGGCTTGTTTGGCACAGCTTGTGATTTTGTAGAGGCTGCTTTTTGGAAATTTTTGTGAAAAACAGATTGTGCTTATTCTACTTACTCTTGGTTTCTATTTATTGATAAGCTGCAGCAGGTCATGAGATCCGGCTGTCGGCACTGTGACTGAGGTGAGCTCTCGTCGTCCCTTATCTCGACTTAAAGTGAATGCAAACCTGTAGAACATGCTAAGCTACATCTAAATTTTAGACTTACTAGATCATTTATGTGGACTGCAACCTCTCCATACAAGATCTGTAAAATACCTGCAAGTTCAGTTATGCATCTTTGTTTCTGTTTCATATTTTCAGTTATCCTTTATGTGGGCTGCAGGCTCTATATACATACAACTTTTGAAATAAGAAGTAACCAAGGGAACCAAGAATAATGGTATGTAGTTTATTTGACTTGCAGCTAGGTATCGTGAATGTTTCTCTAGTTTTTTATGCCATGTGGTTTTCAAAAAAAAAAAAATTCAGACCTTATCAGGGCATATTACACTGCATATCATTTACACTTTTATGCCATGATTTAAGATTAGTAAAGAGCTTCCAGTTCATCATTTTTGTTCATAGCAAGTTTATGCCTCCCTTACATAGCTACTACTTTCAGATCTTTACTATGCTATGTAGCTCTCATCTGATGAACTTGGAAGCCAAATCAAGATTTGATGATGCCTTAGAAGAAAGGAAGACTTAGCATTAGTGGATTCTTACACTAAGGTAACTAAGGGAATGATTTTTCACATGCAAAGAGTTGTACTGTGATGTCTTACTATGTTTCGTGTAAATTATATATCTATCCATCTGTGTTGGAGAACAAGTATGATGAGGCTCAGACAGTTTGAACAAGTAATTGGATGTACATCTGTAATGCAATATCTGTTATATCCCTTTAATTTTTAATTTTAAAATTTTTGTGAATTTAAGGATCAGTTATTTTTTGACTTTGATAATGTAGATTCAGAATCTAGAGACAAGTGATTTTAAGGACAAGTGTTATGTTTTGTTGTTGTTTTTTTGCTACACATACAACCTGCTGTATTGATCAACCAGATTGGCTTGGATGGTTTTGGAGGATGTTCTTTGTCTCTAGAGGAAGTAGATGTGGTGAGCTTACCTATGTGAGCTATTGTAAACTTTTGGTCAAATTTGTGAAAATGCATGTATCTTTATTGAAGTTGAATTCTAGTTGTGTATTTGCTAAATGAACTTTTGAAGCTCAGTGTAACATTTGTAATAATTGTTGACCGATCAATTTTTATTTTTTTTAACCATTTAAAACTAACCGTTGGACCATCTATCGCTAAAACTATATGTAGCATCAAATGATCTGTCACAAAAGAGTAGCAGCGGGTTGTCTGTCGCTAAAGAGTAGCAGCAGGTTGTCTGTCGCTATAAAAATTCAGGGCAATGGACTATCTGTCGCTAAAAGCTATTGTCTGTCGCTAAAGATTTTTAGCGACAGGACTTACAACGTCAGTAGAAGTCTATCGCTATAACTTTTTAGCGTCAGATTGTCTGTCGCTGTAGCTACTTTTAGCATCAGACCATCCATCGCTAATTTTGGTGTTGTGGTGTAGTGGATGTATGTTTCATCTCGATGTTGCATGCGTTTCATCTAGATGTTGTATATGTTGTAATGGCTATACACGTATATTGTAAGTGTATGTTTCGAATGTTTCATTTGTTTCAGACATATGTTGCAAATGTTTTATATCTGGATATTTGCATATGTTTCAGTGGACTACACACAAAGGTTGCAAAGCGTCTATTCAAAATGTTTCATCTCTTTCGTACGTATGTTGTAAATGTTTTATCTAGATATATGGATGTTGCATATGTTAAAGTTGGTATACAGATATGTTGCAAGCATATGTTATAAATGTTTAAATGTTTCAGATGTATGTTGTCAAGTGTCTAATGTTGCAACATTAGCAGGCTATAAGAACAGGGCGCATGCAGAGGAGGTCCCCGCGGACGCAGCGGTTCCCACGTGCGCGGCAAGCGAAACGGGCGTGGGTGGTCTCCACCTGCATGCACATCAGCAGGCATGGGGTGCGCAGCTGCATGTGTATGTGCACCGGCATATGGGGGTGGGTGTGCAGACGCATGAGTTGCATGCGGCATGCGGTGACGGGTGGGAGTGCTGGCGTAGCAGTTTTTTTTTTTTTTTTTTATAACTACAGACGCAGTTGCATACGAGTCATCAGTTGCATGCGGGTCAGCAGTTGCATGCGGAGGAGGCACGGGCGTTCCGATGGGAGGTAGCCACGCCCTTTTGTCTTTGTGCACAGACACACCTATCTCGTCGTTTTATGGTAATCACTTCACCGAGGGCGTCCATAATTTTGTCTTCGTTATTTTAGCAACAGTTTTATGGAGACATATATATAAACAAAAAAAAATTATCGGATGTTACAAACTGTATATGCTGTATATGTACACTTCACATCTCCGGGCAATTAGTCAGTGAGTCGACGAAAGAACTCTTGTCAGTTCATCCTCCGTAACCTCAAATCAAACTAATTTGTTGCTCCATTAAAGTTAAGCTCGATTCATCGGTGCTCAGTCAGCGCATCATCAGCTCCTTGCTGCCCTCCTTCGACACTTCTACCGTACAAACCTCCCGAGGTCAACGACCATGACGGTGACGTCGTCCCTGCTCCCCCTGTGCCGCGCCATGTCCACGAGCTCCCTGCATGCCGTCGCCGGGCTAGTGGAGACGGCGTCGACGGCCTCCTGGTTGCTGACCTTGTCCCAGAGCCCGTCGGACGCGATGACCAAAAACTCGCACCTGGCATCAAGGGCCACCCTGGTGACCGCCGGGTCGGCGACGACCCACCGCTTCAGCGCGCCGTCGCCGAACGCGCGGGACACGGCGAGGCGGCCCTGCACCCGCCACACGCCACTGCCGCTGCGGCACACGTAGCCGCCCTCCCGCTCGATGCGCTCCCGCTCCTCCTCCCGGGCGCAGGTGTGGTCCACCGTCAGCGCGGCCGCTGTGCTGTCGCGGCTCAGCACGGCGCGGCAGTCGCCGACGTGCGCGACGTAGAGGTGCCCGCCCCTCACCAACGCCGTTGTGGCACATGCGCCGCCGCTTTCACCCTGCGACGTCATTTTCACATATTAGACTTATGGTATGGTATTTTTTCTGCAACGAACGCAAACAAACTTTTGGACACGATATATATGGTTTGTCATTCAACCAAATTTGGAGACTGGAAAACGATAAAGTGATTTAGTGTCAGTTTCAAACAAACTGTACACTACAAGACCGTGGCTGAATATTGAAGCTTCAAATTTAGACGCTCCTAGTCCTAATAAGAGGCTAAGATTCAAACATGTTTTAGAGAAAGTTGACAAATTAAATTAAACCATGCATGCCTTGTGTGTACTCAGTACAGTAGCTACAAATTAATTTAATGCAAACCTCAAACTAAATCATCTCTCTCTTTTTTATTTCCTTCCTGATGAATAACGCCAGTGACACGGCAAGTGTACGTAGGTAATCACATGGGGGCATGGCCATCCAAAAAGATGAGGATATATACATGGCAAGAACAAATAAGAATCTTTTTGACGTGTTCAACGTGGGACGAAAGTGCATATATATATGCGTAGTAGACCCGGTAAACAAAACGAACGTGCGTCTTTGTACGTAGTGTCACTCTGGCAGTACGCTGTACGCACCTGGTGTTGCGCGAGGAGCTCGTTGTCGGTGGCCAGGTAGGCCGCTCTGATCGCCGCCGACACGGCGTCCTCCTCCTCCGCCGACGACGACCGAGGCTCACCTTGCGTCTCCGTTCCCGCGGCCAGCACGGCGGAGACGACGTTCCTGGCGAGCCTCTCGGAGACGAAGTCCACGGCCGCGCGGCCGCCGTGTCCGTCGAACACACCGTAGAATGCCTGCGGGAAATTAAAAGGTTCGGAGATTAACAAACCAAAACATGCTAGGTGCCAGTGTTGGGCGTGCTTATGCTTACATCTTACTGGGTCAAAACACATCCAAAATACAGTATTTGGTCAACCATAACGGCATAACCTTTTATTTATCTGTCACTTTAGTTGTGGATCTTGCTTGATGATAATTCAAGAGGGCTAAGTTTAGAGACTAAGCCCAAAACTCACTATATTTAGTGTTTTTGTTAGCATGTAGGAAGTGCAATTGTTTAGTGTTCACCTAAGGTAATTTCTAATGGCAAAGGGGCCACGGCAGCATTTGGTCACAACAAAGAACTCTGCCCCTGCTGTCGCTAGAGCAGCCATAATTGTACTCCATCCATCGAAAAATGGAAGCATTATATTCGTGGAGTATTCCACCTTGGTCAAAGCCATCACTAAATTAAATTATTTCTCAAAACCCTCTCGTGCTACTAGCTAATCATGAGAGATGATGGTCTAAGACTAGCTAGTTAACAAGGGGCATTTAAAGTGTATTACTACCTTGTAGCTTAGTTTTTCATAAAACTTATAAGAAATATTCGTATTTTTGCACTTATTTAACAACATATAAAGCACAATTATGTAGTTTTTCTAAAAAAAGTCGTATACAATGCAGACTTATGTAAAATGGATTATATTCTGTAAACAGGAGAAATCAAATATTTATTTCTGGCATACAGTAATTATAAAAAAATGTTAAATTCACCAATTCATGAAATAATAATTCTTGGAGAAAGTATGATATATGTGCAAGTTTTACTGGAAAATGTATACAATGTACATATACATATGAATAATATGACATATTTATTTAACAGAATATTGTCATCCCTGAATCCGAGTATTTATAGTCTTACTCATATCTAGCAAGAAAATTAGAAATGCTGTCCTTATATATGTCTCTTAATAAATCCATAGCAATACTACTTATTACGAGTTCATAAGACATGATGGATTAGGCTGGAAAATTTTTTTTATCAAGGAGGATGGAAAAAAATTTAGATAATAAACAAATTTTAGCATCAATAAAATCAAATCAAGCAAATAATTTATCAAATCGTTTGACACGCAGATAAAAAAAAAATTACCAGCTCAGAATCTCCACCATGTTTATCGGTCACCACGGCATACGCATCCTCCATCGCATGCCTCAGTCCTGCTCTACTCGCCAGCCTAAATCCCTCGCCCTCCACCTCCTTCAGGTCAGCCTCCTTCGCCGAGGCAGCAGCCGCGGCGGCCCAGCCGGCAGCCACCTCGCCGGCATCGACATCCGCCACAGGTATAACCAGCCTTGAGGGCCTCCTCCTCGCAGCCCATGCTGTCTTCTTCTTCTTGCTCTCAGCTTGTTGCTCTGTTGCGTCATCGCTACAACCGCCGACAACGTTAGGCACCTCTGCACCAACAAGAACAGCTGTGGGAGGCGGCGCCACCACCAACACCTGCTTCTGGATAGCGACGACTGAGGCAGCAGCAGCAGGCGTCTTCCTCCGCAGCGGGAGGGTCATGGCGGAGATTACGCCGGCGGCTGGAGACGACGCCGCCGCCGCCTTTGGTAGGGAAGCTACGACCGGAGAGAACGCGGATGCCCTGATGAGGAGCTTGCGGAGCTCGCGGAGGAGGCGCGCGAAGGCGGCGGAGACAGAGCACAGGAACCGGGCAGTGTGCAGCATGTCTAGCTAGAAGCTGGGTGCCGCAGAGCGAGACGGTGAAACTGGCTGCATAAGTGAGGCCAGGATGGGAGTCACCGGCAGATCAGCTTGCAATGTCTTTATACGTGATGAGGAGTGGAAGAGTGAGACGATGACGAGAGGAACCGGACAAGATCAATGGGCGGGGCTGGGTCACTGGTGCCGACGGGTCAACTAATGCAGTGACCCGTCATCTTGGCTGTGTTTTTAATATTGTTAACGGGGAATTTCGTTTACTTAATCCGGACGGCGGGCCGGGCATACTGCCAGCATACGTACAGGTGCAGGGTCCTGATACTAATGTGATCAACCAGAAGACAACACTCGCGCCACCTAAAAAAATTAGTAAATCAATGAGTTTTCCAAAAAAAAAATTAAGAAAGTAGAGAGCTAAAAGCATCTCCAAGAGTTTCCAAAACCCACTCCCAGTGTTGATTTTTTTGCAAGATTGAAAATAACTACTCTCCAACCACATCCTATCTCAACTCTCAATCTTTGTGCACTTGGGGGAAACGATCCAGTCACGCGATAATATATATGCGCATATATCAATCCACCAATCTAGAAGTGCAAGGATGTGTGGAAGAATATGAGTAAGGACATGGTTTCCTATGCAAATGTGAAGTGTTTTAAAAATAGTCTGGGATTCTTGTTGCAAAATTTTCTTTTATCTTTTAGGAGTGAGATTTTAATAACGGTAGGAGGAACCCAAAAAATATGCTACCAACTTTTTTTAACCACTTGTAAAACTCATTGATTTACTAACTCTTTTTCTCAAAACTGTTGGAAATGCTATAAGCTGAGGAATTGTTAGATAGAGATTTTCCTTTATCTAGCAAAAAAAATCAAGATTTGGAGTTGTTTTACAAAACTATTGGAGATGCTCTAAGGTAGAGCTTATATATAAAGTATACTTTGTTAGAGAAAAGAAGAAAATATGTATGTATAGAATTATTATTCGGCAATGTTTTATTACCTCGCTAAAATAATTTGCAAACTTTTTTTTTTTCAAGTGTGTATCATCTGTAAAGAAAATCTATGTTTTTTTTCTCAAAAATGACATTTTGACGTCATATTTAAAATCCGAATACTTGTTAGAGTTTAAGAAGTCAAATACTCCCTCTGTTCTAAATTATAAGTTGTTTTGGATTTTTTAGATATACAGATTTTGCTATATATGTATCTAGGTATAACCTATATATAGATGCGTAGCGAAAGCTATGTATCTAGAAAAGCTAAAATAATTTATAATTTAGAACGAATGGAGTAGAATAGGATGTGTGCGTAGCTATTATATTGTTACATTACTTTTGCATTCTCCTCTCTAATTATTAGTTGGAAGACCAGTCACATAATAAAAAAAAGGTCCGCTTGAGGCTGGGCCGGGCCTGCAGGGGACTGAGCAATGCATACCAACTCAACACCAACGACACATTTTCCTTCAAAACAAAAAAAAAAAACCCCACCAACGACACATAGCTAAAATGAGTTTAGTATGAAGGGCTTCTACAATCGTATAGTCTAGGATCATCGATGATGTCGGAAATAATTAAAATGACTTGTTGAATTAATTAGTCTGTTGCGGCCTTCTAGAGCGAGGTTAACTACGACAGTTCGTCATGCAAGCAAACAACGAAGTACTACTTGTACATGCATCATTCTTTCACGCATGCAAGAGGTTGAAATAATCTACATACCTTGTCCAACATGACTTTTTTTTTTGAACTGCAAATGTCCGAAGTTTAAATATTAATTCGACCGTGCAATTTGTTTGTGCAAGTCAATCTCTACTATCAGCAATAACTGCGCTGTCTTTTACGTATATGTATGTAACGTACGTACTCCTCTCATCTGTATTCAGACGCTAGCTGGCGACTGACAAGTGACAACAGAGTGTGGCTCCTCCTGCCAGGCCGGCGAGGGAGATGGAAGTACTAGTCTAGTAGACCAGGTAGTAGCGTTTTTGTTTGGAAGTTGGCCGGCTGCTGGCTGACGCAGTCTTCTGGTACATACGCTACGTACGTATTTGCCTGGTTCCCACGTACGACGCCGTCTGCTTTTCAGGTTTTGTGAAGTCGCCCAGACGTTAATGGTTGCATCACGTGCATGCGCGCATGATTTATTATACTACACTGATGCTGAAACCTCAGGACAAAGACGTATTCTTTTTTTTTTTTTTGGGCAGGGGATAGGACAAGGACGTATTCGTTGGTTTGTTTTGGTTCAAGATTTGATCAAGTGTTTCTACATGTACGGGAACAAACGATTTTAGAGACAGGTTCTTTGGGTTAACAGAGGCAGGCAGCGCCTCTGAAAATGGATAAACGGCCTCTAGGCAAATGCATGCCTCTAAAAGTTTACAGAGGCCGGTGTCCTAATAAGACGTTAATCATCAATTAACAGAGACGATCGTGTTAGGACGCATGTCTCTGTAAACTGATTTTCATAGAAGGACATCCATCTCTATTAACAGAAAGTGGCCATAATAAGTGCCCATCTCGAAAAATCAAATAACAAAGGATGCCCATCTCTAAAACAGTTACATCCAACAATAATTCGTAACTTATCCATATGTACTTTGACGAAGACAAACTTTATATCAAAATTATAGCGCTTGACGTGATCTACAACTTTGTAGTTGGGAAGTCATTGATTTGAAATTGATTGGAGTCCCAAAATATTGTTTTGACACCATGGATTTTGAAAGTCAAAATTTAAAATTTTGAAACAACATCGGAGGTTGACATGGTCTGTACTAAAGTTGTAGTTCTCAATACAATCTACATCTTGTAGTCAAAATCTTTTTGATTTAAAATCATATAGAGTCCCAAATATATATGTGTTTTAATTTTATAGATTTTGAAACTCAAAATTTAGAATTTCTAAACGACCTTGAATGTTCACATAGTTAACACAACGGTGTAGTGGCCCACCCACTACCACAATCTAGAATTTATATGTAGATTATTTCAACCTTGAACATCAGGCATTTTCGTGCCAAATGTTTTCAAAACCGCATGTGGGTGCCAAAAATGTCCCATTACCACAAATGAGTGCCAAAATGAAACTTCCAAGGAAAGGATAGTTTTCTTGGCGATTTACATAGACCTCCAAGGAAATATGAGAGTTGACATAAACCATCATGGAATATGGATCTTTCCTTGGCGGTTTCTAAGCACCTCCAAGGAAATTACTCATTTCCTTGAGTCTCATTGTAAACAGCTAAGGAAACTACTATTTCCTTCAATGTTATTCTTAACCGCCAAGAAAAATACTTATTTCATTGGGTGTCACTCTAAACCATCAAGTAAATTGTCATTTTTCCTTGGGGGTTATTGAATTTTCTTGGGGGTTGGCTGAAATGCTTATAAGTATTTTGGTGACTCCAACTGAAAAAACAATAATATTTTAAAGGTGTCTAAAAATCTTAAAATTTGGCATGAAATCATAATATGGTTGTATTATCTTGCCATAAAGTTTTCAAATCATATTACCAAAGTTGGACTATACATTATTCATTTGTGAACAATGTATAGTTCCATTTTGTTTAAATCATTTGAGTGAATTTGTTTGACGGTTTGTGGCCAAGGATCATTTCCTTGGCGGTTCAGGCTCTTTCCTTGGCGGATTTTGGGGAAATTGTTAAAATGAATTTCTCAAATAAACATGTTACAAACTTTAGTATCATTTCAAAGTATGAAGTTTATACTATGCAATGGTGCTATTGGTTGTGATGTTTGCTTGATGGTTAGTCGCTAATTAATTCACCAAAAATGCTTATCTAACTGATTTTCAAATCCCTAACTGAAAGTGTTAAGTCCAGTTTCAATCTATCCTTGTTCTTGACATTGGATCTCTCAATCCACTAAGAATTAGGAGATGAGTCTTAAAGAAAAGTTGAAGACCTCATCAAGATGAACAACTTTTGTTTTTGGAGCTCATCGAGTTGACATGTGGTTTTGGGAGAAAGAGGAGGAGGAAGAAGCTCTGTCATCCTGCTACAGTACCACACCGGCAGCAGGCAGTCAGCTTGCTCGCTGTTGGCCGCCGCCCTCCAGCGTCGCTCTTGCGCGTGCGGCACGTAGCTGCTTGAGCGGCCTAGCTGGAGCAGCTGCTGGAGCACCAGGAAACCTCACCCGCGTCCATATAACGCGACGCCGTTGGCCGTTCTCTCCTTCCTCGCCTTTCTGCTCCACCGCCAGGCCGTCCCGCCGCTGTCGAATTAGTCGCCGCCGTGGTGCTTTTCATCCAAATTGCCCACGCCCGTAGCCTCGCCTCGTCCTTGCGCGTCCGCTGAGCCCGCTCACGCTGTCCATCCCCGCCAGAGCTAGCCGAAGGCCACCTTTTTCTTCCCTGCCGTCCAAGAGAGCCGTCGTATGCCCCTCCGCCATGGCCAGGCCACTCCGGAGCATCTCTCTCCCTCCTACCTCTTGTTTTAGTTTCCTTGCATTGTGGTGATGCTCATCGGCTCACCGGTTTTCTCTTGTATCCTTAGGACACGCCGAAACGCGAACTCGCATTCTAGTTCACGCCGCCGTGCTCGTGCTCGAAATCGGCAGCCACGTCTGCTTCGTCTTAACCTCAACCATCACGCTTAGCACATCGAGGTGAGCATCCTAAGGCTACCCCGAGCCCTAGTTAGGCCAATTAGGGCCGTTACCAGCTAGAGCTTCGTCGCATCGTCGTGCGAAGCGCCACCGCGTTGCCATAGTCGACGCTGAGCTCGAGCAAACCATAATTCGTTCAATCGGTAGCGTAGGCATGTTCGAGTATGTGGGGAGTATGTGGGTGATCTCCACGTGGCTGGAGAACTCGCCTTCGACCTTCTTCGCCATGCTAGAGTGCCACCAGCTCGTCATGACCGGCGTCAAGCTCGCCATGGTGCCCTAGGGTTTCAACCGTCACCGTAGATCGATGCATGAGGTTGCCCCGAGCATATAGGTGCCCTCGTCGTTGCCGAAAACCTCACCACTGACGAGTAA